CCTCCTCTCTCTCTCTCTCTCTCTCTCTCTCTCTGAAGATTTGGTTGACAGCTTTGCACCGTAATGTTTACCGGAAATTCTGGATAACAGCAGGGAAAATTAGATAAATATATATATATATATATAATTTTGATTTTAAATGCTTCATTTGTGACTGTGATCAGCGAGGATGACTCATTGATTGGATTAGACAAATATCACTTGCATCAATCATCTGCTGGTTATTTTGAATCAGAATTTTATAGTTTTTCTCCTGGAAATCTTACCCCGAATTTTGAGAGTTATCGGGATATTTTCTTAACATATGCAAGATTTCTAATGGAGGGTTTGCTTACTGTGGTTATTCTGTTGCTATAAGCTGTCTTATCTTTCGTGTTTCCTTTATTACCCGTATAATTACCGATCTTTTCCATTAAACTTTGATATCACTTTTTAGTTCTCTTTTAGCAATTCTCTCAGCTATCTGTCACCGTTTTTTCCCATCTAATTTTACATTCAATCAACACTTATATTGGTCAGTATTTGTCATTTCAATTCACTAAACAGTTCCACTAATTTGATATTGCATAGAAAGTATTTATTGATCATTGCTATTAAAAACTATCATTCACCAACTTTTATTGATTAAAATAATAGCGAATATGCACGAAAGAAGTGATAAGAAAATTCCAATGATTAAATTACAAAATATGAAAATATATAGTTAGATCCGCTGGAAGTGATGATAATTTCCTATCACTTATCAGCAATTATGACTGTTATCATTTGTAAAAATAAGTTACTAATATAGAGAGAATAGTTTGTTTGATTGAATAAGTGCCTTTCAGGAAAATGTAAGAATTGTTCTCATACTACAAATGATAATAGCAGAAAATTGACAATTTTTTCGGAAATTGATTGGCCCGGAACTCGAAATACCGGATGGTATTAAACCATGGAATGTTTCCCCCACTTTTTTTCTTTACATTCCATGTGAGCAGTAGCAATATCGATCTTTCCCTTCGTTTATAGTTTTGCTTTCTGATTTTTCAGTTTCAAAATTTTCAACTAATTGTACTTTTAAGAGAAATTTGAGAAAAAAGGAAAATGGAAAATGACATACATATTTGATCACATGACGTAACCACATACGTAATATGTTTTCCGTAATATTTGACGTAGTAGATTTCTTTATGATATTTGATTCATCTATCTAGATTTTACAATTGGACGCTAAGTAAACATTGAAAAGAAATGTTTTATTGAGAATGATAATTTGCCTTCATTATATGTTTAATTGTTCTTTGTCATTATCATTCTGTCAGAATTTGTTGTTTTCGATGCATTCGGTTGTTATATATCATTTAAATTTTAGGATTTTAATAATGTCAAGACGTACGGGATTGATAAGTCACCAGGATGATAATGGATTATTATACGTATTTGTTCCAGGTTTCTTTTTTACCTTGTCACAGTCTTCTTTCGAATCATTACCGTCGCATAGTTGTAAAATCATTGATAACTTTGAAGAAAAGGATAAAGAACTAATTTCCTCATGAAAAAATTGTTATTGTGATAATTCATTTCAAATCTACTACCAGAGAAATTTCTTTTAGCCAACGTCTTTGTTGTTTTTTGTAGGTAGACATCGTGATCTGGTAATTGATGAACGGAAAACACCGAATGATGAACAGTGCTTTCATATTGGTGATTTTATATCATTTGTCGATATTAATGGTTCCATCACATCACCAACCCGGACAAATAAATTGCTCGAAACATTTCTCCTGAATAATCGTCTACAAGTATAAGTTATTGTCACTATTTACCAAATGCAAATTTTCATTTAGTTAATTGTTTGAGACTTTTGTTTTTGGTATTACTACTAAATGAGTGCGACACCTTATCTACATATTATATCACGACGAGTTCAAAACTGTTTTGATCATAAATCACTCATGAGTGATGCGTGCTGTGAAACTAATATGAAATTAATTAATATTTACTACCTCTTCTCATACAATATTTGCAATTGTTCACCTTTCCAGAATCCATAGAAAGGCACGATGTTTCTTTTGATCATTTCAGGTGAAAGTTTCGGTAGCGTTTCCTCCAGAAAAACTCTCTATACGAGCCCAATTCACCACATTTACTACCTATCCTCATAAAATTCTTGCTTGGTCTCCGGACTTCGCATTTATTTGTTGCTCTCCTGATGTTGCAAAAGAAGTTTGTAGGAACAAGATGTATAAGGCTTGGATTGAAAGGTATGTATAGCTTGAAGATCCAGGATATCTTTCTTATTATTTAATTTTTGGAGCAGTTTCACATTCTTAGAGGATTTTGTATGGCTATACTTAAGCCACACTTGGTTTCCGCTAATAAATTTGGTCTTTGACTGTCACTTTGTTTGATATTTCTCATGGAAAGAAGGTCTGCTATAGTTAATCAAGTGTTGCTGGTACATATATATATATATATATATATATATATATATATATATATATATATATATATATATATATA